TATTACTGAATAAGATTGCTTGAGTCACTCTTAACAATAAATTTGGATAAATTTCTAAAGGTATAAAAAATCAACTGGAATCGTAGTTCAAAGATTATCTGATATCACTTATCTAAACACAGAAATTAGGACAGAAAAAGAACCAACCAATATTATCCAGAAGAATAACAGTAAGTGAATTCTGATAATAAGACAGATTATGAATAACTCGACTGACACAAAATTTAAATGTCTAGATATTTTTTGAAAATTTATAGCTTAGTATGCAAAACGACAAACACAAAACTGTTTACACGGAAAGAAAGAAAATCAAACAGTAAGCTAGTTGTCTTTCTTTTCGATTATTTTTTTTAACTAATTAACCTACCTAGTTGACATTTAGAAAATTATGTTGTGTCTGTGAGAAAAGAATTTCTTTAGAAATGTTACATTGCAATAAAAAGAGTAGACATGAAAAGATTGACTATCATACATACATGCAAAAATAAACGATGAAAATCGGTAAAATACATACACAGATGCATATGAATATATGATTGTTAATTATTTTTAAATATAAAAACAGTTTTTGTAGTTTAACATATCATAATAACTTGCAGGATAGTAGTATTGCAGTGACTAATATTTGGTTCATGAAGCTTATTATATCACAGTAAAAATGTGCGTTTTACAAAATGCGTTACATTCACCTTAGTCCTTTATTCTAGCATAAGAAAGATTCAAAACACTATGTTGAAACCGCTAAAGAAATGTAGTAGATCAGACGAATTAAAGAAATAGCTCTTCACAGAACTAATGGTTTGTGCAATTCTGGCAGCTGATCTTGTATTTTGAGTACTGTTATTTAGAAAAACGTTCTACAAACTTTTATATTACATCAAGTAAAATACTTTAACTTAAAGCTAGACTGATGCATACCATCTGAAAACATGTATGCACGAACTGTTCATATAAGGCAACTTTCGATGAATTTGTTCAGCGGTTGAATAGTGATTTGACTTTTGATTTACATATATTCGTAGATTTCTTCATAAATGCTTCTCAAAAACCAGAAAATACTCACTAGATGCATCCCACTAACGAAAAATGGAAAACATTAAAATTTGTCAATAAGTATCAAAAATTGGTAGGTCAAGGTATATGACAATTAAAAGAATATTCAAAATTTCTGCAATGATTAGTGAATATCAAATAGCTGTGTATGAATTCTTCACCGAAAGGAAGGAAGTTGAGCTAGTCGATTCCCATGATAACGTGAAATTCTGAGTTTATTTTTTGATCATTCAATGTTACCATAACTTCGTGAGTAAAATAAAATTAATTTAAAATCTTTTATCTAAATACTGATAAAATTTGGACGTTGAGTGTATAGAATACCTTATTTGTGAAAACTATGGTTCGAATAATCTCAGCGACTGAAATTTTAGCGAATTGCGTTATTTCATCGGGCTAAATTGTCTGTCGGGTAACCAAATCCACAGAAGTCTAAACAAGATAGCTGGATGAAACGTTGGCATTATCTAAAATTTCAATTAAACCAAAAAAAAAATTTTAAAAACGATTTCTACTATCGTCAAAGTCTGAACAGATTTGCAGAAGAATATTATTTTAACAACTAACAATTTGTTATATCTCCCACAGTATTGTAGTGAATGAGAACACAGGTGGGGGCAACCGAATTGTATTTAACGAAAATTACAGAGTTACTCAGTAAAATCGGAAAACCATATCGTAAATCGTTCATTTGCAAAGGATCAGTTCATCCTATGGAACTGGACTGTTCCTGTTGCCAAACATCAATCCATTGTCACTCTTCATGCGTTTCAAACAAATTCCATTGTTTTCTGACTCTTCCTTTCTTGATCTTCCCCTCATATTATGCTACCAGACTTTACGTTGACACTCACGCTATATACTACTTATAAGTAGTTCGCACCACAGCACCACAGTATGACATACCAGTGTGACTCTTCATCTCAGTTAAGTATTTTTAAATCAGCTCTACTTTAATTTATATAACTTTCGTAGAATTATACCAATTATCTTACTGAAATCATTTTTAAAATTAAATTTTAGCTATTTAGCTTTTCTCGTAACAAATTATTTGTAGTTAATCATTACATCGTTTATTTGATAGATTTGAAGGCCATACAATTTGCGAATACAGTAGTTTTATATGTTAAGGTTTTCAATTTTAAATAAAACTATAATATTTTGTGTTTTTATACTTCTCATCAGGAGGTAAATTTTTTTTCACACTAATAATATAACATTATGGAATCTGTTAGACTAGTTGGCACAAGTCTACAAGCATATTAATCCATCTATAAAATAAGACAGTGTCCAAATATCTTTGCATTATCTAACTACTTAAACAAAAAACACTAGAAAAATTTTCCAATTATCTTTTCTATGAACACTTTTATCTGTAATGCTATTTAGATGAGAGATTTATTTGCAACACAAGCTGTGAAATAAAATATTAAATGTAAATCTTTAATGTTGTATTTGCTATTTGGTATAAAAAAGACGCTCATGCGATCTGTTAACTGATCGGACTAAGTGATATCATGCACAAAAAAGTCATTTGTACAACTTAACAAAAAAATATGAATCCAAGTGATATTTCTAAACTCATTACTAGCAAACTGTTCTGCATATTCATGGATGCTATTTCAAAACACACATAGTTAGGAATGTTGAAAGATGACATTTATTTTACATAATTATACTAAACAATGAGATAATTCAATTATTTTCTATCATTAGAAATGGTCAAAATTCATATCATGACGAATAGTTAGTGTCCAATATATATTAAAAGGTAGTTCGTTGGAATAATGATGGTAATTAAAAAAGTCAATTTTAAAACGTTGTCGTTTATCATGCATGGATTACCTGCAGAATGTGGGAAAAATAGAAAAAGCCATTAAATGAATAGTTTGTGAACAAAAAGCATAAAAATATGTAGTTAATAATGAAGTGACTGATAATATGTTTTCCTTAAAATTCGAAATGATAAGGAAAGCTTTCGGAAACCATAGAAATTATACTGATAGACAGTTTATTATCAAGTAGACCTCCTAGAGCCTGTAGATCGTTTGTCTACAGCGTGATGATGGATGATTGACATAACAGGATAATGTGAATTCGTTTTATTTCGCAATGATTAGCAACATAACTGTACTAATCATTAAAATTCAGCCTACATTACATTGGGAAAATCCTCATCGATTGAAAAATAATAAACAGAACATTACGTACGGAAGAACTAGTGGGAGATATTAGATAAAGTAAATAAATAATGTGAATATTTATAAGTCAAAAATAAGGGCATCTATAAAATTATAAACTTTGTTGAACAAATCAATTAAATTTTAATTTGTTAAACATCTTTTTTAGGATTACTACAAACGAAAGCTGAAACGATATCAATTGTGAAATATCTAGCTTCATGTTGCTTTTAGACCGGTTGATCGATTAGTGAAGAAAGATATTTCAATCCAAATAACAAGTGAATAATTCATTACAAGCGCGTGTTTTTTCTAGACAAGTCTAGCTACTTTGTTGTTATCAAATCTTTTGAGAATATCGTTCATAGTAAGCATACTGTAAACAGATATGCTAGGATTAATATTCGTGTTTTAACAAAAAAATAAATACTTTAATTTAACATTTGTAATTTTTATTGATTTTTTTGGTTCCTATCTTAGACTAACTAACATAAAATAAACTTCGTTAATGATATGATAATGATATTATTGTCTAGAGTAATATATATTTGATTACAGACACTGTTATTTTGCTATACATTTTAAAAAGTACAACATAATGAACTTATGATCATTGCATAAAAGCAATCTAATGTACAAATATTGATCTGAATTAATGAGATAATTGTTTTTTCGTCCGATACCTGATATTTTTATTTTTCCCTGTTCCAATACAACCTTTTGCTTTGAATTCCGCTTAAAATAAAGACAGTATTTAGCATTATGGTTATTTTTAGCTTTGCATGCTTTTGTATTCGTATATGTGTGAATATCAATAGGTCGTGATTCAAGCTGGTATCCATCTCTTTGTTTACGTAAATTACAGGTTATTTTATAAAAAAAAATAATTGATTTATCTGCTTTAAATAACATTTAGATTTTTCTGCGTGAACTTATTATATTTATTTTAATACTAATTTTTAATAAAAGATCTTCTGTTACTATTGATTAGATTAGAAAATTCTATCGAAGTATATCACGTTTGTCAGACAAATGCAAAAAAGGTTCTCTGTTGTGAATAATTTTGTATTCAATAATTTTTGTTAAGCTTTTCTGGTGCAATTGCCACTGATACGAAGATCATAGGTTAAAAATGCGTTGTAAAACCTAATGTCTAGTGTGAAAGTAATGTGGTAAAGTCGAATGAACCAATAGGAAATATTCAACTTCTTGTTTGTATATCGCTCGTGCACAAATCTTCAAAGGATTTTCTTTACGTGCATATACACAAGTGGACATTATAGCATTAGGCATAGATTACAATATCGATAGACAGACAGACATACATAGGAAAAATTTAGCTGTTAATAAAAATTCAAAATGTAAGATTGACACGAGAGAGACAACTGTGACAACTGTATAAGTGGATCTTATCATGAAGCAGTTCATAATTAAAGATATGCATTGATAAGGACTTTAATCTTTATATATTGCATCTGACTGTTGGCAACAAATACGAAAGTCTTAGTTTTGTCTTGTCATTTTCAATATTATGATTGATTGTGGATGTATTGATACCTGTTAACAAACCAATCATAAGAAGGATATAGTTCCTGAATAATCAAACTAGTTAAAGTTTTCCTAATAACTTATGTAAATCATATCTTTGGATAAATTTCCTGTAATTCTACTTGTAAACATTTCACTATAACAACAAAATTTGAATCATAATTTGATAATTACTGTTGACATGTAAACACATAAAATGAGCACAATTAAACTTTTCACATGTCCACCGTATCAGGAACAGCATCCACTCTTCTGTTACCTTATGGAACATCAGCTTATTGTAATAGAAAGTAAGTTATTACTGACTGTATTCTTTATTTGTTCTCGTATTCATTCTATAATCTTTCTCGATAATTTGAAGGTTTAAAATAAAAACTTTCGACAAACACTTAGTTTGTTGAAATTCGGATGATTTAAAACCATCCTCCTTATTTTCTAAATGAGAGAATAATATTGTTATCAGATGTTGAAAAGAGTAATCCAACTGTAGTATAAGGAAGTTTTTCATTCCAAGTTTTCGGTAGCCATTAAATATATTTGTAGTTGTTATCTTGACAGAAAGTAGACATATACGAGTAATGATGTTGTTCAAATCTCATCCTTATGAAAAACTGTATTAGTTTATTTACCAGCTAGAACAACTGAACATTTGGTTAACTCTCTTCTGATTATAATGTGAGTAAACAAAATATGTTTTTCTTAAATGTACACTAGTACCCTCGGTAAAAGAGCTAATTTAGAGGCCACGTTCATCAAGTTGTATTGAAGATACTCACTGTACTCCTTCTTGATTTTTCTATTGTATATTAAGCAGTAAAAAGAAACAACGAAAAAGTTTTAAATGCTAAAAATTCAAATCTTTTCATTATTATTTAACATGTCTTACCTATGTGGTATACTGTTTTTAAACTTCTTTTAATGCGGTTTCACTTGCTGAAGGTGAAGTTATTACAGTAAAAATAAAAATCATTGAACATAAGTTCATTGGTTGTGTGAATTCTCTTCAGCTTCCTACAACACAAAAACAATAAAATTGATAACTATAAGCAGAGACACCTGGATTATTTTTGGTGTAGATGTAGACTGTTCCCAAAAAGACAATAAATATATGATCTAAAACAACAGTTCGTACAGGCGACCATTGTTCCGTTAACTATATAAGTATTTCAGAAGAGAAAGTGAATCATGTACGGAATAAGACTTCGAGAAATCGAAAATTCATTAAGACCACATGCACTTTAGAAAAAAATCTAAGCTCAGACCGTCTCGCTGATGATAACTCAGATAGAAACATGAAAGAGGGAAACAGAATTTATTTAAAAAAAAACTAGTGTTATGTAAGTAGTCCTTACATTTGCGTTGATAGCAGTGGTAATTTTAAATGCACTAGTTGGATTTAGGTCTTCGGAAATATCTAACATTAAAATAGCTCAATAAAGTGAACATTCCTTCATAATTGATTATTTTAAAGGATTTTGAAACATTGATATCAGATCAGCTACCAAGTGAATGATAAACGTATCTGACACTATATACATCCTGTTCCTTTCGTTTACGTTATAGTCAAATGTATTTGAATGTAAGGAAAAGTCAAGATTTATCTAGTCACATATTTATACAAAGCCTTTAGCTATAATCCATCACCGGTTATATGAATAAAAAATAATTCTGATTATAGAAACTATAATCAATAAAGATTTTACTTAGAAATTTATTTTAAGAATGGTTTCGAATCGTGATGTTATTGTCAAAATTTATTGTTTAAACACGTAAATGAGACGTTAAACTAATAATCAAGTGAAAGAGGATGAATATCAAATAACAGATTCTTTACTTCATGGAATCAGTAAACGACTATATTTGATTATTTATTAGGATTTAATCTCCAGTTGTTGTTGAATATACGTTTTTAACGGACTGCAATAAATATATACGGCTTTTGAAACTTATAAGTGAGTAGGTCCAATAGTTATTTTTAGTGCAATACGTATTTCAAAGTCTTAAATCTGCTTCAGAACAATAAAAAATGAAGTTAACTTGATCTAACTAGGAACTGCTAACCTACTACTGATAGAGACGTTTGTGAAATATCAGGTGGGTTAGTTTGTATTTCTGCTTCTGTGTGGTTTCCAAACAATGATAAAAAAAACAGACGTTAATTAACTGTATACTTGAGAACGTTTGCTTCTGTTACAACCAGCTGACATGGACAACTTATTACAGGATGGATCCACAAAAAATCAGTATTAGTCTTAATTCGAATAACCGTTGTCCAGTTAGCAGTATTTTCAAACTAATCAGACAGTTTAATTTCATCTTTATTCAAGAGAATAAAGCACATCATATTATTTGTGTGTTCATTAAAAATGTAAAGGTTAGTTTCATTTAGAAGTAAATTATTTACATATTCTATATATTAGACCTATGTTACAGAAGACTTATTTTCTGGACATTAGCTTGATACAATAGTAGGAAATAGTTTAGAGAAGAACAAGTACTCTATGAACAGACCATCAGTATTCAGAGTACTAAAAATAAGAACGCACAATTCAGAGATCATATTGATTCGTTAAAACCATAATTATATACAGTAGCTTTCTTGTCGATTAACCACAAACCCGAATGTACAAAAATGTTACAACTAACTCCTTAAGTGTGAGAAGTCATTATAAGAATAGCATAAAAATTAGTAGAAAAAGATTTCTTCCGTGTATTAAGGGTTACCGTGTCAAACTAACTGCAGTCTTTAAAAGTTTCATATTTTGCGCCAGATATTTTCTCTTGTTTATATAATTTTCTTCGTTTCATCAGGGTTTTAGGTTTTGTGCTGCAACTAACTGATTGTAATCCTGAATGTTACAGTAAACATCCATAAATAATAGTTGTTTTTGTCATTATTTGAAGCCAAATGATCACTAATACATTCAGAAGTCGGTGATTATTTAAATGAGTTATATACTCTAACTTTACTACTTTAATCTTTTGTTTCTCATGGGGCTTTGAAATTTGACGACCATGTCAAATCTATTTAAGGGTCTATTCATAAATTTGATATTTATCAAAGTAAATCTCATACAAAATGGGTTATCATTTGAAATCTAAACAAAGGATATGTAGGTAGTTTAATTTATCAGTTCATAAGTAAAATTTGATTTTAAGCACATCATTTGTTACATCCATGTTTAATAATAATCACTCCGTTCATAGACTGACTATTTCCCGATATTGATAAACAGCATCTAACAACAATTAATCAGCTAATTTGTTTCTCACTGGTGTTGATTGAAATCAATTAATGGAATGTCTCCAAACCAGTTATTTAACTTCATTCAAACAACTTTTTTATCCGAGAAGCATAGTTTTGTAGTTCTGTTTGAGTTAATTCATTATTCAATAAAATGTTTATAGTTTCAAAGGCTCGATAGTCATACCATTTTGATCATCGATAACAATGAATTCATATTTGTATATCAATAGTCACATTCCAGAATTAAATTGTTTTTCATGACATATTATCGGATTTTTGAAATCGATGAATTTTTATAACAAATTTAAAGTGTGATTTCTATTATTCTATTCATCATAACAAAATATTTTTGAAAATATATCCAACTGTCAATATTTTCATTCAAATTATTTTATAGAATAAATCAAAACCTGGAAGAGGATACAGGAATAGATCAACTTAATTCAGATGAAATATTTCGTCCAGCCATTGAAACTGAAAGATTAGTTATCAATGTAAGTGGTTTACGTTTTGAAACACAAGCACAAACTGTCAATCAATTTCCTGACACCTTATTAGGTAATCCAAATAAACGTAATCATTATTATGATCCTTTGAGAAATGAATATTTTTTCGATAGAAACAGATCAAGTTTTGACGGGATACTTTATTTTTATCAAAGTGGTGGACGACTTCGACGACCAGTCAATGTACCAATTGATGTATTCAATGAAGAAATAAAATTTTATGAACTAGGTGAAGAAGCACTGGCTAAATATCGTGAAGAAGAAGGATTTATTAAAGAAGAACCAAAAATTCTACCAAGAAATCGTTTTCAACGTAAAGTTTGGCTGTTATTTGAATATCCTGAAAGTTCATTAGCAGCTCGTATACTGGCTATTGGTTCAGTATTTGTTATTCTACTATCAATTATCATATTTTGTTTAGAAACTTTACCACATTTTCGTCGTTATAAAATAATGAATAACTTTAATTCTACATTATGTTATGAAGATGTAATTTTTGAAGAGGATGATTTACCAACTATCGATCAACCATTTTTTGTCATTGAAACATTTTGTATAGTATGGTTTAGTTGTGAACTACTCATACGTTTTGCTTCATCTCCGAAGAAATTTGAATTTTTCAAAGTGCTAATGAATGTCATTGATGTGGTTTCAATTATACCATATTTTATAACTCTTGGTGCTGTGATTATTGATGATCCAAAACAACGTAATCAAACAACATCATTAGCTGTATTGAGAGTTATTCGACTTGTTCGTGTTTTTCGTATATTCAAATTATCCAGACATTCAAAAGGATTACAAATTTTAGGACAAACATTAAGAGCAAGTGTTCGAGAATTAGGATTACTTGTATTCTTTTTACTGATTTGTGTTATTCTCTTTTCATCAGCTGTTTATTTTGCTGAAGCTGATGCTGACACTTCATTGTTTCGTAGTATACCGGATGGATTTTGGTGGGCTGTTGTAACAATGACCACAGTTGGTTATGGAGATATGCGACCGGTTACTGTATGGGGTAAATTAATTGGTTCATTGTGTGCTATTGCTGGTGTATTAACTATTGCACTTCCTGTTCCTGTAATTGTATCGAATTTTAATTATTTTTATCATCGTGAAACTGAATCCGATGATATTTCACATCCGATTTCTTCATCTTTGGAAACTGATGATGATGTTGTGAATAAAGAACAACAAATAAATACAAAAATTCGTAGTATTACTTACAATATGAATCGTAACAGTAGTGGTAATAGTAGTAGTGGCAGTAATAAATCTATAAAAGTCATTTCACACATTGAGGACAGTGTTAATAATCAATATGATCCAATAATCACTGGTGCCTTAAAACCAAATTCTGTAACATCGAAACATTGATCACATATTCTCAAGTTTCTTTAAATCATAAAAATTCTTATTGTTTCTGGTTAATTCACGAATCGTCAAAAGTCAATTTCTTCTCACAAATACTATGCTCAAATTAAACCAACTTCAAAAAAAAGAAAACAGACTAACTGCGTATCTTATTCACAGTACTGTATGCATTTATATACTTTATATCAACATAGCCACTCATGAAGTCATTACGTTTAGTTCTATAATATTCTTTTGTACATAAAGTTAACCGTTGACAACCATGGTAGCTAGTGTTTTTTTATTGTACTCTATTGTTTATCCTGGTTATAACTGATATCTATGTAATTTCTAACTAATTTCTAGGAATATCATGCTACATTTCATGACATATATATATATATATATATATATATATATATATATATACCTAAAAACACAATATTATTGCCTGTGGATAATATCGTAAATGAAAATGTGTATAAGATTATTCATATTTTCATTAATAACCAGTAGAAGGATTCAATGAAATGAACTATTTTTTTGTTGTTGCAGATTTATTCATGTAGATTTTCTTTTTTTCACTGTCGTTCGTCATTATTTTCTCATTATCATAAACCATCTGAGAACAATATGAACTATTCTTAATTTCTTTGGTAAGCAGGTAACTTATACACATTTTTAAATGACTTTGTTATTTAGATAATACAGTTGTAGAGCTACGAAACTTAGCAAAAAAATTAGTCGAATATTTCATTACAAATAAGACATGTTATTTGATAACGCGATGAATGTTTTGAGTTTCGGAATATTTGTAACAATCATTAATTATATTACTTGATTGCTTGTTTCACTGTTTGTGTGTGTGTGTGAACGTGTCAAATATTTTGACAACTGAGATCTTTCATGTAAAAAAAGAAAATGAAAAAAATAAATGATTTCAAATATGTACAAAAAAATTATTTGATTTCATGTGATATACTTGTAGTTTTATTTCATGATCGAATGCGGTCACTGCATCGAAGGTGGTGATTTTTTTCATTTTATGTTAATTAATAAAACGTTTTCTTGATGATAAGCATTAACAATGAGGAAAATAGGATATGCGGAAGCTGTATGTTCCGCTGCAAAAAAATTATCAAGCCACTTTCAAATATTCTGAATAATTCTTTTTTACTTATTAACAAATATTACTAAATAACGAAAATATTTTTATTGGTACTTTATCAGAATTGGACCTAATTTTCATAAAACTTTTTCTTAGTATCTCTCGTGATTACAGTGGGGGACGAGCCTAAAAGAACGTCAACAAATTTCCAACAGACTAGTCGTGGAAGCTATTGAAATCGTCTATAAGATGTTCTGTTTTTGGAAAGGAAAAAAAACAGTGGCATGTACTTATGAATATAAGTTGTCCATCTTGATGAATGTTTATAACATAAGTCGGAGGGTAGTTTTACCTTCCAACTGCCGCGACGAGCTATGTTTTGTGGTGTAGGAGTAGGTTGGAAGAAAGCTACGGGGTAGCCAAACTAAAATATAGCAGCAATGCATGAAGTCACTAACAAGTGGACTGAGTCATGTTGGTAGATGTAGGCTACCTGGTTGGGGTCCGCAAGAAGAAAGTCACTGATGGTTAGGAAGCTTGAACGACATGGCTCAAAATCGTTCGCAGTGGTGCAGGTGCATCCATTCTTTGTGATCTCTCTAATGCTAACCTTTTCAATTCCTCGTCATCTTCATCTTTCTCCTTCTAAGTTTATCTCACTGAATTATACTGATCGAATCATTTATTCGCTCCCTAATATTCTCCATTACTACTAATACTACTACTATCGCTACCACTCTTGGATTTGAACTGACAGTTTTGTCTCTGTGCTGATGTGGTATAGCAACCTGAACTGATGTACTAACGTACAACGTTCTGCGTTGTATCTGTCTGTCTGTCGGAAGGTAGTTTTATTTAGGGCTGCTTATCTAAGTTTAAGATCAGAGGGTTTTGGATTAAAGTTTTTCTTAACGAACTGACATCCGTTATAATTCAAAAGTGTTTTGAAGTCATATGAATGAGTGCATTTTGCTCAACGATTCCAGCGACTCCACTTAAATCTTGTACATTCATTTATAAATTTACTGCCCCAAAGCTAAAGTTTACTTTGGATTCTATGACAGTTTGCCTGTTATAATCAAGCTACACATAAAGAAATTAACATTTTGGACGTATAACATTAGTTTTCCTCTGTCATGAAAAAATGTATACAGTCATCTCTATTGCTTATTTCATGTAATTTCTGAATTTCACATAACATTTTAAATCATTTTCTTCTCTATGTTGGCTCGTGACTATTCTATAATTTTACTACGAATACAAAGTATTTTGAGCTCATTCACTCTTCAAAATTTATAACTAAACTCTTTTAAATAAATAAGAAGCATCTATCAGGATAGCTTTACATGTTGAATGTTAATTAATTGACATTTATCAAACATCTAGTTTAGATATTTGATTACTTATTCTATAGAAGTTAAAATCATTACGTGAACGTTCTAGCTGAGTGTTTTTTTCAAGATGCACACCAAACATTGCATGTGTCATAAATATAAAAGCAAGGATCAAAGTAATCGGTGGTTTTTAGTAAATTATTTAGATGTCTGAGCTATTCATCCGCCATTTCTCAAAGATTTAAATCATGCTCTACTGTTTGAAATACTCTAGAATAAAAATGATAGAACAATACATTTTAGTGAATACCTGAAATCGATTTCACTACTTCGGACAATCATGGTATGCTTTCCTTTTAGGCGTATACTGTTTAGGATATATTAAACATATCCATTTTTACTAATCTCAGACCAACTAAGCTGCATCACCAATAATAGTATGTTTATATTGTACAAAATATTTAACTGTATGGTTGATTGTATACTAATAGAATCAATAAATTAACTGCCTGTGGCCACCATGTGAAGTACTTGCTAGGAACTATACGTTTTAGATATGAAAATTCTTAACTAAACACATTTGTATTGCAACTAGAGTCATTAAATAGACGAAAAACAAAAGGCAGTTGTTTTTTGGAAGCAAATAAAATAAGGGCATTGTCTAACCCTGATTGACAGTAAATGTAATACAACAGCTTGTAGATTCTGTAAACTTTTCAATGCTATCATACTTTGTACTAATTAATATCTAGAAGAATTTTGTTCTTAAATAACTAAATAAAGTAACAAATCAATAATTCATTAGTAAGGAGGAAGAAAAATAAGTAAAATAATCAACTGGTTATCACTTTTTCCTGTCACAAGAGCTTTATGACTTAAGATTAAAAAATGACATAAATTTATAATTTAAAAAATGTATATCATTATCTTTCAAAACAGCTTTTACATTACAGATGACTGTGCATGTGATACAGCTGTACATTAAAAAGTGATAGTCTAGAAAGTGGTTACATCTTAATTTCTTTTCGTGAAAGCTCTTTCAATGATTTATGTAGATGGATAGCATGTGTATCTAGCGAAATCATGCATTGGCAATCTACATTGAAAGTCAAATGTCACATGATATAACGGTTGGACTCGATCAAAATTATACTTTAAAATAATTAAATTTCAAAAACAATCTAGTTTAATTATGTATACGTTGATTAGTGAATCAAACTTTGTACTGAGTTACGTAACAAAATGGACAAGAAATTAAATCAGTACATTTTTGAAACAATTTTAAGTCAACAAAATCAATGTGATCAGTGTATTTGTAAAGATACTTAGATAACGTTTCATCTTTTGGGTTTAATAGCAACTATAAATAAATAATTATATAAAAAATCTTCTTTACATTCAGGTGGGTTGGCGACTAAATAAGAGATAAACGTTAATATTTCTGATTTATTACTAGAATTTATATTATGATATATACGTGTAATTTGTCCAATTAAATGCTTTTAGAAATTTCCGCATCTGATTCATTTGCTTCATTTGAATAGAGAAATAAGAAGACATATTTTGTGAGATAGTACCATTTCATGCTTTCTCGTCAGTCACATACAAGCAACATGTTATTTGTGTAAATACAGTTTTGAAGATAAGGTCAAAATTTCTTATTTAGCATGACATTCACTCACTAGAACCATGGTAAACAAAGGTCAACATACAGTTGTTTTTGAACACATAAAGTTGGACTTTTCCGATCAATCAAGATAGCTTCGAGTAGTTTCAGTGTGTGTGGGTTTTGATTACATGTCACAACTCTAAAGGCTGATTTTGGGTCAATTTGATGACCACTCATCATCAGATGTTTTGCAATGGACGAGGCTGGGTTTCTTGATCGATTTTGAGATGATGGGCTAGGTTGACAAATCATGGATTTGATTAACCATCTTGGAATATGTTCCCCTATCCTGTCTTCCAGTCGGCGATCTGTCCTCCCTAAGTAACTTTCTCCGCAGTTACATGTGAATTGGTAAATACAGTGGGATTTGGACTGAATCGGTCTTGGAGACTTGATTGGGGTAACTGAAATCGATTGGGTTGTTGTGATAAGCCTCACATTAGATGCATTGAAGGTCTTTTTTATTGTAGCTGCAGTCTGTTTGGTTGTAATTTTCATGCAATGATCACCTTTGAAAGGTAACTGTAGGTACACTGGTTTCTTGGGCACATCAGTTGCTATCAGTTTCGTCGTAGTTGTGTTCTGATGACCAATAAACGTTTCGGGATATCCGTTTGATTTAAGTGTCTCAGTAATAAGCTTGAATTCGTCGTTCAATGTATCAGCAGTGCAGATTCTACTTGCTCGAGCGAATAAAGTTTTGACAACAGAACGTTTATATTGTATGGGGCAGAAAATAGTGAAGTGGAGGTACTGTCCCGACCAGGTGGGTTTGGGGTGTACTTTTCGTCTGATTGATCCGTCTGGACGGCGATGGAGCAGGATATCGAGGAAGGCTAGTTCATTATTCTTTTCTTCCTCATAAGTGACTTTCAGATTCGGGTGAATCGCATTAAATAAATCATTGATTTCA